GACAAAAACAGTTGTACTAATGTCACCAGTACTTTATTAGTTGACAAGTTAGGATTATCTTGTACTAAACACCCTAATCCTTATATACTACATTGGCTCAATGAGTGTGGAGAAGTCAGGGTATACAAACAAGTCGAGATTCTTTTCTTTACAGGAAAGTATAAAGATGAGGATGTTGTGATGTCACTCCCATGCACGTCAATCACATCCTACTTGGACGATCATGACAGTATGATATAGGTTCATCACGTCGGGCTCAATAATCAATACTCTTTACGTCTAAATGGCCTAAAACACATTTTAACACCTCTATCTCCAAAAGAGGTCTATGCTGATCAAATTAAAATCAAGAAATCTTTTGAAGAATATTCAGAAACAGAAAAAGAAGAAGAAAAAAAAAAGGCCGAAAAGAAAACGAACGGCCCACTGAGTGTAAAAGAGGCCTAAAAGAAGAATAAAGAAGGCCCAATGAGAGAAAATGAGAGAGAAAATAAAAGAGTGTTTATTTTTGAGGGAGATAAAAGTGAGGAGAGCGATCTATGAGAAACAAAGCTTAATTATACTTTAGTATAAAAAAGCCTATCTAAAATTTTTTAACATTGACATTTCTTTCCCTAGTTCTGTTTTCTCTCTTTTGTAGGAATATGAAGAGTGTTCCCAGAAGAGATTCCGGATGGTCTACCACCACTATGAAGGATTGAACATCATATTGGCTTTATCCCTAGAGCTTCATTTCCCAACCTTCCAGCCTATCAAAGTAATTCTGAAGAGACAAAAGAATTTATGCGGCAAGTGGAGTTGTTAGGTAAGAGATATGTAAGAGAAAGTTTGAGCCCTTGTGTTGTTCCAATGTTAGTTGTGCCTAAGAAATATGGTTCATGGAGGATGTGTGTGGATTATTGAGTCGTCAATAAAATTACAGTAAAATATAAACACTTTATCCCTAGGTTAGATGATATATTGGATAAATTGAGTAGATTTACTATTTTCATTAAGATATATCTTAAGAGTGGATACCATCAAATTATGATGAAACTTGGAGATGAGTAAAAATTGTCTTTAAAACCAAGTATGGGTTGTATGAGTGGTTAATAATGCTTTTTGGGTTATCAAATGCCCCTAACACCTTCATGAGACTTATGAATCATGTTTGACGACCTTTTTTAGGTAAATTTGTGGTAGTTTACTTTGATGACATCTTGATTTATAATAATTTTTTAGATTACCTTCAACATATCAAGTCTGTCCTTTGAGGTCCTTAGGAAAGAATAATTATATGTAAATGCCAAGAAATGTACCTTTTGCAGTGAAAAATTGAATTTTTTAGTGTTTGTAGTTAGTGCACATGGCATTGAGGTACATAAAGATGAGATGAAAGCAATCAGAGTATGGCCTACTCCTACATCAGCCAGTGAGATAAGGAATTTTCATGGTTTGGCAAGCTTATACCGCAGGTTTCTTAGGGATTTTACTTCCATAGCATCACCATTGAATGAATTAGAAAAGAAAAATATAAAATTTGTATGGACTGAAAAATAAGAGCATGTTTTTACTTTATTAAAAGATAAATTATATTATGCACCTATTTAACTTTACATGACTTTAACAAAATTTTTAAGCTTAAATGTGATGCTTTATGTATTAGTATAGGAGTAGTTCTTATGCAGAGTGGACGTCCCGTGGCTTGTTTCAATGAGAAATTTAGTGGCGCACTGTTGAACTACTCAACCTACGATAAGACATTATACGCATTGGTGAGAGCATTAGAGGTATGAAAACACTACTTATTGCCAAATGAGTTCATGATGCATACAAACCATGAATCCCTAAAACATATGAAGGGGTCAAGGTAAACTCAACCGTCATCACGGTAAACTCAACCGTCATCACGGTAACTTTCAAATTTTCAAGAGTGAGTGAGCGAGTCTTTCACTACTTGTTGTGCTAAGAATTGAGATCATTTATCAAGGTAATTCTCGTGGCATGTTTTAAATTCTAGTTCTTTATTTCTTTCTCAGTTACCTTGATTTTCATTCCCTATTGAGTGCATATCAAGTAGGGAGGATTTACTTAGGGTCTTGAGTTTTTGATTGCTAATGTATATGTAGAGTTTTGGATTCTGTTGTTGATCCTGGGTTCTGCATCAAGGTTTGCTGATGAAAATAAAATATGGCAATGAGATAAATAAAACTGTTACCGAATATCGGGGGGGAACATATAGGGTGATCCCTATCATGGATATGATCCTCAGTCATACGGGGCTGAGATGTCCCATACCAGACGGGGTTGGGAGATTGTTAATGACACCCATATCGGACGAGGTATGAGAATGATCAATAAAAACGACACTCATATCAGATGAGATATTGAGTGGCCAGTACAAGTGACGTCCATTATTGGACAGAGTGTGGGGATGACCAATATTTGTAAAAGAAATGTAAGTATCCATGTATAGGGGAAATCCTTATAGAGGCCAAAGATATCGATAGAAGAAAATAATATTAAGAAGCGGGAAAGAGAATGGTAAACAATTATTCGTATTTTTATTATATTCATGAATATATCTTGATGTTTGTGTATGAATGTTGTTTAAAAAGAAAATAAATAATAAAATAGGTTTAATTAATATATCTTGTTGTTTAAAAAGAAAGAGTACGACCGCATCGGTATTATTTTTTGATCAAAAGTGATACTCCATCGGTTGTTTTACAGTTTTTTATAACATTTGGGTTACTATTACGGTTGTAAGGTTTATTTTTCTTACCCTATTCTTGTTGACCATTTCGAATTAAGACAATCAAGACTCAAATCTTGGATAATGAAAGATTAGTTAGGATATTGTTTCACTCCATTTTGTCGAACAATAATTAGGGTTGATTGTTTATGTTACAGTGATAGTTGTTTTAGACCATAAAATGACCTTGTAGGTATTTTGGATATTTTAAGCCGATGTACAAGGAATGTATTGTTTAAACTCCAAAATGTTGTTGTACTATATAATTTCAGTAGTTATTTTATTATTACATAGTGTTGAGTACTCAGAATCCTAAATAGGGGGTTCACGTTGTTACAGAATATGATAAAAAAGTTATGTATTTTTGAATTCAAATATAAAATCGCAAACAGGTCAATGGAAGGTACAGAGACTAATGCAAATAGAACCAAGAAACACAATTAGTAACTTAAAAAGCTTCATTCTTGTCTCTTCTTGCTTCAAATCCACCAACGACGAATGATTCCCTTCCTAATTTCTCATATTCCATCTTTCAAAAATAGCTCCTCTCAACATTATAAAATCCCATTTCTTAAATCCCTTTTATTACCATTGGTACTTTAGTCGTAAGAAGAGGGAATCTTCCATTATATACATGTAATCGCGAACTATCCTAACTTTTTCCTTCTAATTCTTAAAGTTTGTGTATTCACCATATGAATGAAATTCATATTAGCAGATAACATAAAAGTAGAGGATTTAACTGAACAGATAACAACAAACTCACAATTAATATAAAAATATGTAGTAACCTTAATTATTTAAATTCAAATAATTGTAATTCTCATCACAAAAATATTGAGTACAACATTGATATTTAGTATTTGAACAAAAACATTAACTTTCAAATGGTTTTCAATGCAATACTTAAATGTTGGCAATAAATTATATCAAATAAGTCTTTTCCTTGGATCGATTTATTATTCACATGAAAGAAAAAACTTGATAATTATCACATAATTATCACCACGTGTGCATAGCTAATCTGGCGAAATATCGACATTCCTTTGTGTTGATTAATATCCGTATGAATTACATGCATACAACCATCTTAATATTCTTAAACAAATCAATTTCTATTACAGATGTTAGTTTGACAACATGTTATTTCAATCAATTCATTTGAGAACATTAGATATCTATATTTAATAAATGTACCAAAATTTAAATTTAAAATTCAAAATTCAAAATTGGGTTTATCAATGGCACATTTATTAAAACAAGCATTGCAACATTATCTCGATCATGAATCGACACTTGACCACCAACTATTGACACTGCAACGCAAGTTGGCGATGTCTATGCACTGCAATATTCATTATGAGTATCGTGACACTCGATCTTTACTCCTAATACCGTGCACAATAATTGCAGAGTGGTGCAAGTTCTAGAAGTTTTCTTTAAGTGATAAAATTGTTAAATAATAAATTTCAAATTTTTAGTCACTTTAAGTTGTAAATAAGTTTTGAACTTTATGTTATTTTAGTTATGAGTTCGTTTTAAAACTCAGTGATGTAAATTTTTAATCCTTAAGTGATCACCAAATAAAAAAACGATCACATCACAAATCAAGTAAAAATATCGAAGAGCATAAAATTAATTTAAATCCTCAATTATGGAGGACATAAAAGTAATTTAAATCCTTAATTATGAATATTATCCACGATGATTATTTTAATAAAAGAAATTGATACTTAATGATTAAACACAAAAAGTGACTTTGATACCGCTCTGTGTAAGAATACTTTTTTAAGTAATTAAACTTTGAGAGATGAAAACCATTATCAAAGAAGAAATTTTTGTATTAAATTATTAAGAAAAATATGAAAACAGAAGCGTCTATTAATTCACTCTTGTGCCTTTGGGTCTTCCAAGTTGATGATTTTTAAGATGGAATTTTTCTCTCCAACTTTCTCTACACAAATATTTCTGTTTATAATTTTGGAGATTATAACCTCCTTTTTAACTTTTCAAGTTTTCTAATTTTTAGTTTAGTTAATCATAAATTAAATCTACATTTTAATTTTTTATTTAATCACTTTAATTAACTTTAATACAATTATTATTTTTTTAATATATATAGATTCACTAATATAATCACAGATTAAAAAATTTAAAATTAATTTTTTTTTTTTTTTTTTTGAATTTCAAAATTGATGCTGAAAAACAAAGAAAAAGCAAATTATATATACACATCTTTTCAAATTTTATTTCAGACATACTCTCCCCCCTCACCATTCTACTAGCAAACCCTCAATCATCTCTCCCTGCCATTTCCCTCAAGCCCCCAAATCAGTCTCCACTCCGCTCCCAAATCAGTCTCGTATCTTTTCTTCACTCGATCTCGGAACACTACCATACAGCTCTCACGGTCTCGCTCGCACGAACCGCGCAGTCCCCGCCCCTGTTGCCTGGTAATGTTTACTTTTATTCTTCTAGATTCATTAATTACAATTATTAGTTTGTTTTTAAAATCTCTGCTCCGGGAATAATTTTACAGAAGTTTTTTTAGAGAAAAATTTGTTACATAATGCAGAACCCACAATAAAATGACGATGAGCAGATTGCTATGTGTTATTGTGTGATGTGTATTATGACAACGAGCGTATAGTTTGTGGTTTTTGATTTTTAATTAAAAGAATGTTGAGTGACCGGCGATTTATTCCATTTATGGGTTCTGATGTTTAGAACCACCGCGTTATCTCCATTGCTGCTGAGTACTTCCAAACGGTAACTAGAAAATAATCCATGTGTTCCAAAGAAAGTTGCAGGACTGAGCTCCGCACTGCGATCCGTCAACTCAGTGATCGTGGTCTTCACTCAGCCGCAAAATGGTAGGCTAGTTAAACCCTAATTCCTAATCTCCCTTGCTCGCTCTAAGATTTTCTCGTAACTAAAATTTCGATCTCTCATGTTCACTTTGCAAATGCTATCGCTCTTGTCTGCATGTTGATACGATTGTTTGATCTCTGAGAGGCATTGTTGAAGTTAATGGCTATTTTTCCCATTTGGAAGTAGAAATTGAAATGCTGTTTGCTTTTTGAAGTTGTAAATTCGGCTGTTAAGGGCTTAGAAAGTGATTAATGCCAAATTCATTGGCCTGGGATGACTTGTGATCTTCCCGAAAGTGGTCTGGTCCTTCTTGGGTCTAAATACATTTTTGTTTTCAAGTAAACTATTTGGTTGTTGAGATGGAGTTAGGTACCTCGGTGCTTCATTATTATATACTTATGTATGCCAAATTCATTGGCGAAAAATGAAGAAACAAGATATTTTTGAATGCTCTTTGCTATTATCCTTTTATACTAGTATCTGAGCTTTTGGGAGTTCCATTTTGTTTTTATGGAAATACCATACATAGACCATGAAAGAGGGAAGTTACCATCTGTTGTAAAATTCTCTATTTTTTCCTTTACAGATATCATTACTCAATTTCATGGTTAATGAATTTTGCTTTTCTAATATTCAGGGCAGCAGAACAGCTCGTGGGGATTGAGCTAGATCCAGCGAAATTTACACCTTCGAACACCAGATTCCAACGTGGAAGCTCGAGCATTCGAAGAAGATTCCGCACCAATGAAATCACTTCAACACCAGCCTACGGCATGTCTTATGTTTCTACTCCAGTGATGGAGGAAGATGAGGTGGTGGATGGTGACTTCTACCTTTTAGCAAAGTCTTACTTTGACTGCCGAGAGTACAGAAGGGCTGCTCATGTGCTTCATGATCAGAACGGAAAGAAATCCATGTTCCTTCGTTGTTATGCCCTTTATCTGGTATGCAATATTTTCACACGCTTTATTTTATGTTAGTTACAATTTTTGATTTCAGTGGTTGGAATACAATGTTGTTCTGAAGGTAGTCATGTGAAAGCTACATAAATAACTTTTGTCCTTTACCTTCTAATCAAGTGGAAATTTAGAAACTACAAACAATGAAAGAGCACCTCTTTAAATGTGAAGCACTCTATTTAAATGGTGGAAACTTGTTGATGAGAGAGTTTTAATATGTCTAATTTTTAGTGAAATTATTGTTTCTGGTGCCAAAGAAAGCAATATGAAATTATGTTAGTAGCTTATAAGGAGAATCAGTTCTAACTTCTGAAAGCCACTGGTTGTGAGAAAATTATGCAGATGCCTTATATAGTAGTATGGATGTCTTGATCAAAACAAAGCTAACTTTGTTACAAATATTGTATTGGAATAAATCATTAAACAAAATATGTTCATATCTTATGGTATTAAATCATAAAGTAGCTTGGATGTCTTCATCAAATCAAATACAGTCAATTTCTGTGTTTCTTTTGGTTTACCTTTATGCTTTTGGTGTCCTCGTTGATTAATTTTCTACTAGCATATACATGCATCTAGCATTATCATTTTGGTTATTCGGCACTCCAAAGTTTATACAATTAATAAGTTTTATAGTTAGTTGTAATCCTTGGATTGATGGAATTGCTTGTTCTTGACATGGTTAAGAAAATTTCAAATTCTGTAAGCAGTCTAGTGCACATTATGTTATCATGTTGCATGAACATGAGGTTTTGGATAAGTTCTAAGTGGAACAATACGGAAGGCAGTGCAGGCATTCATAGTTTGTCAGTAAAGTTCGAGTGAAACTATTGTTTGTGAAATTTTTTTTTTATTAATTTACTTGATGCACTTTAAAAGATGTAGCATAATGGAACAGAAAATAGAAAAGAAATAAAAGGTAGAAGAATACTTATATAAAAGTATATGGTTTGATTTCCACAATTGAACAGGTTTGGCAGCACTCAGGGCTCTACTCACCTACTGATGGGGGCTATGCTGTTATGACTATAACTTGAGCATCAAGTAAGCAATTGTAACCAAATTAGCAATGAAATAGAAATTCTAACTAACAAAGAAATAGAAAACCTGTTAAAAATGAGGGAAATTTATAAAGATCATAGACTAGAGTTTGCCTTAGTACTTTTTTTATGTATGTCCCAAATAGAACTTTTTGTTAATAATTATGAATTAACCTTAAGGTAGGTGAATGCCCACTATTACATGAGTGAAGTTGTTTACATGGACAAATTCACTTATTGTGATGGTATAAATTTTCAAAATGATTCATTATTTATCTCTCTCCGAAAATCTCCAAATCTAAATTCTTTTAGTTCTCCAAATATTTATTTTTTTCTTTCTCTAACAGCATATGCAAGATCAAAAAGAGAATAGGGATTGATGAATGGATTGACACACTAGAGCTTGAGTGGGATTTTAGAGGAAGAAATATGAAGGGGATGGAGATTTGGTGATTTTAGGGTAGGAAGAAGAAAGGATTTTGGAGATTTAAGGGATTTTTAGGTAAGAAGAGGTATCTATAGATTTTATTTCATCTATAGATTTGGCAATTTATCTAAAAAAAATCTACAGATTTGGCAATTATTAGCAACAATTGTGTCATATATGGAGACGAAATTACTCTTTAGTCCTTAGTCTTTTGGCATGTTCCAAAGCCCTGGATATAGTTATAGGTCTTTGTGAAATGAAATCAGAGAAAGAACTTCATTTCAACCATGTTATGATTGAATGTTACGACTCATTAAGGGAGAACCAATATCTCCTTAAGTTCCTCACAGAATGCCATATAACTACTTTGTCCTATCTACAAACACAGCTATTGCCTAGTGGCATTTTGCCACACTGCCACATAATTAAAATCCATATAACCAGTGACACACTGCCATTTGCACTAAATCTACTCATTAATTATTATAGACTTTATATTAAGATACTTAGCTATCACCTAATCCAGCTTTTTCTTCCATGATCCATGTGTGAACCTTTTGTACACTTTCCATGGCGTAGCAATCTTGACATTTTTAACATCTTTCATGTGCAACTAGCATGTATTATCTTAGCGGTAACATTTAATTGTTGACAGAAGGTATAATCTTGGACATGTACAAACTACATGATGCAAATTGTCTCAGTTAAAAGTAAGAGTGCTAACTAAGAGAACTCTCAAAAATATAGGGTGCGATTTCTAATTTTCCAATAAATAATAAACTTTTCTTAGCAATAAGAGGTAGAAGAACATTCCTAGGCCTGTGGGCTTTATTAGATCATCCTACATCATTAGCTTCTTGAAAATGTAGGCGAAATGGAGGAGCAACACATAACTACAAGCTGAGCCGTCTAATCCTCTCTACTAGGAGGAAAGTTGTTTTGTACTCTACAAATTGTGACCGATTGGCGAGGGATTTCTTCCTGTCCTGGGACATACTATATAAGCATAAAGAGTAGTCAACTATTCTTTTCCAAAACTAATATTTTTCCTGTGGCCATTTTTTTTTGTGAGGAACCCTTTAGCCATGCACTTGTCATTTGAGGTTTAATAGATTCCTGTTAATTATTGTTTGTATATGTATCCTTTTGATACATGATGCTGTTTGTTTTTATTTGTGCATTGAATCTGTCATGATTGATTTTAGAATATCTGTTGAACATCAAGATTACTGGTCTCCTAAGCTTTCAGTTACATTTGCCTCTTTTGTTGCTTTATGAAGGCTGGAGAAAAACGGAAAGAAGAAGAGATGATAGAACTTGAGGGGCCTTTGGGTAAGAGTGATGCTGTGAACAGTGAATTGGTTTCTCTGGACAGGGAGTTATCAACACTTCGAAAGAATGGCATGATTGATCCTTTTGGTTTATACTTGTACGGCCTTGTGCTTAAAGAAAAAGCAAACGAGAATCTTGCTCGCACCATTCTTGTGGAGTCAGTAAACAGCTACCCCTGGAACTGGAATGCCTGGTCAGAGCTACTGTCTTTGTGCACTACAATTGACATACTAAACAGCCTTAATCTCAATAATCATTGGATGAAGGATTTCTTTCTTGCTGGTGCTTACCAAGAACTTAGGATGCACAATGAATCTTTAGCAAAGTATGAATCTTTACAAGGCACCTTCAGTTTTAGTAACTACATACAGGCTCAAATTGCAAAAGCCCAGTACAGTCTGAGGGAATTTGACCAAGTTGAAGTTATATTTGAAGAGCTTCTAAGAAATGATCCATTTCGAGTTGAAGACATGGATATGTACTCTAATGTGCTCTATGCAAAAGAGTGTTTCTCTGCCCTAAGTTACCTTGCTCACAGAGTGTTTATGACTGATAAATACAGGCCTGAGTCTTGTTGCATTATTGGTAACTACTACAGCTTGAAGGGGATGCATGAAAAATCGGTAGTGTACTTCCGGAGGGCACTCAAATTAAACAAGAAGTATTTGTCTGCCTGGACCCTTATGGGCCATGAGTATGTTGAAATGAAAAATACACCAGCTGCAATAGATGCCTACCGACGGGCTGTAGACATAAATCCATGTGATTATCGAGCCTGGTATGGCTTAGGACAAACTTATGAGATGATGTGCATGCCTTTTTATGCTCTTCATTATTTCCGAAAGTCTGTATCCTTGCAGCCAAATGATTCTCGGTTATGGATTGCTATGGCCCAATGTTATGAAACTGACCAGCTTCACATGCTTGAGGAGGCAATCAAGTGTTACAGAAGGGCAGCAAATTGTAATGACAGGGAAGCGATTGCTCTGCACCAGCTAGCAAAGCTGCATCAGAAACTTGGGCGCCATGAAGAAGCAGCGTTTTACTATGAGAAAGATTTGGAAAGGATGGAAGCTGAAGAGAGAGAAGGACCAAATATGTTTGAGGCTTTGGTTTTTCTTGCTACACACTGCAAAACACACAAGAGATTTGAAGAAGCAGAGGTGTACTGTACCCGTCTTCTTGATTATACTGGTCCAGTAAGTTTTCTTTCACCTGCTTTGTTCACAGTAGATGTACATATAAATGACACATTTACATGCAAATACTTATTTTGTGTCATAATTGCAGGAGAAGGAAAAAGCAAAGAGCTTACTTCGAGCAATTAGAATGGCAAAAACCAGTGGTTTTCCAGTAATGGATGTGGAGCCTTTTCCTCCCTGATCTGTCCATGACTCGTGAATATATTTTCATCTTCAGCAAATATCTTCCCCAGTTTTGGCCTGAAAAATTAAATGGGATATCATTGAGGAACACATAATTCGTCTTCAGTGAGCATGTCTTTCCTAGTTTTGGCATTTGGAGACAACCAATGAAAATCATTGCATGTGTGACATTATTGTTGCAAAGCTTTTCTCGGGCTCAACAATGCAGAAGCCATTTGTGTATTTGGTAAGATAGTTTTTTTTTGTTATCATCAGTGATAGAGATAACATGGTTCTTGCAAGGGCACATTCCAATGTGATTGTAGTGCAAAAGTTTCTGGGTTAGATGTTAGTTGGTAGGATAATGGAGATTTGGTTTTCAATGGTTGTCTCGTAACATCTCAACTTAGAAGTGATAGCTGTAAGGAGAGTCCCGCTCGGTGCCAGGTAGATATGTATGAATATGTGCATGCATCTTCCTTTTAATAGTTTAGGTTAAATGTTGTGGAGATTATGAAATTCTAAGGACCTTCCCCAAGGTAAATCCATGGTGTTTTCGGTTGGA